AGGTCCCTTAGCTAGAATGATTGGAGGGAAAAGTCAGCTCGAATAACATTAAAGCCAAATTATCCTTGAAATCTATGTCACTATGAAAAATGCATGTAGCTCAAAAGTAACCAAATCATCAACAAAATTTGCAAAACTGTATACATATATGAATTTATGTTATAGAAGATGATAATTTAAAATGAGTTTTGCTCTAAGTTTCCAAACACATATTGCATGTCAGAGAAAATGGCTAGAATTATTATAAGGAGACTTATAAGCACTTTGTCTCAAGTGGCCATCCCAAGGCTGGGAAGTGCAGTGTGGGCTGAACATATTACTAGACATGCCTTTTCTATATAGGCATCGGCAGAGCAGGTTTTCATGAGTTATCATTGTTTATATTTAGCCCATGGGGAAGGTGATAAATGCCATCGATTATTCACATATAAAACAAACAGGGCTGCTCTTGTTCATGTTGCCACTTCAGCAAATGGAGGCGTAAGAGGGAATAAAGAGGCTTCGTTAGAATGGGATGATGTTAACTGAGAGTCACCGGGTGACCAAAGCGAGAGCTTACTGTGTGTGCAGCTGGACAAAATTTGAAAGCAACCCAAAGGCAGTCACTAAGAAATTCACTTTGAAATGTTGAAGTCAAGTTTAATTGAAGTATAGAGCTGTTATTCTCAGCCAGGAGCGATTTTTGTTCCCCAGGGTATTTTTTGTCATCAGGACTCATAGGGGACAAGGGGCAGGGCTGCAATTGGCATCTAGGGTTAGAGACCAGAAGTGCTGTTAAACAGCTTTAAATGCACAGAATTCCCACCCACTCATATTAAATAACTAGCCAGCCCAAAATATTGGAAGTGCTACTATAGTAAAATGCTGCTATAGACCCTTGTGGTATAAACTTAGTGGGATGGTTATGATGGTATATGGGAAGAAGGAACTGTATTTACTAATTAAGCACTTTTAAGCAATATAAGAATTTATAGGTGACAGTTATTTTCTTTGGATTTTTCTAAATTGAAGTATAGTTGATTTACAATATTGTGTTAGTTTCAGGTATACAACAGAGTGATTCAGTTTTTTATGTGTGTGTGTGTGTGTGTTTTAGATTATTTCCTATTGTAGCTTATTACAAGATACTGAATATAGTTCCTTGTGCTATACAGTAGATCCACTTTGCTTATCTAGTTTATATATAGTAGTCTGTATCTGTTAATTCCATACTCCTAATTTACCCCTCCCCCTCCCTTTCCACTTGATAGACATAAATTTGTTTTCTATGTCCTTGAGTTTGCTTGTTTTATATATAAATTGGCATTTTTTTAGATTACACATATCAGTGATATCATATAATGTCTTTCTCTGACTTTACTAAGTATGATATTATCTAGGCCCATCCATGGTGCTGCAAATGACAATATTTCATCTTTTTTATGCCTGAGTAATATTCCATTGTATATATAATTGTATATCACTTCTTAAAGCCAGTCATCATTGATGGGCATTTGGGTTGTTTCCATGTAAATAGTGCTGCCACAAACACTGGGGAGCATGTGTCTTTTAGAATTAGAGTTTTTATCTTTTATGGATATATACCTAGGAGTGGGATCGCTGGATCATATGGTAGCTCTATTTTTAGTTTTTTAAGCAACCTCCATACTGTTTTCCATAGTGGATGCACCATTTTACATTCTCACCAACAGTGTGGGAGGGTATCCTTTTCTCCACACCTTTTCCAGCATTCATTATTTGTAGATTTTTTGATGGTAACCTTTCTGACCAGTGTGAGGTGGTACCTCATTGTGGTTTTGATTTGCATTTCTCTAATAATTAGAAATGTTAAGCATCTTTTCATATGCCTACTGGCCATCTGTATGTCTTCTTTGGAGAAATGTCTATTTGAGTCTTCTGCCCCATTTTTGATTGGGCTGTTTGTTTTTTGGATATTGAGTTACATGAGCTGTTTGTATATTTTGGATGTCAGCCCCTTGTTGGTTGCATCGTTAGCAAATATTTTCTCCCGTTCCATAGGTTGTCTTTTTGTTGATGGTTTCCTTCGCTGTGCAAAAGCTTTTAAGTTTGATTATGTTCCATTTGTTTATTTTTGCTTTTATTTCTTTTACCTTGGGAGACTGACCTAAGAATATATTGCTATGGTTTCTGTCAGAGAATGTTTTGCTTATGTTCCCTGCTAGGAGTTTGTCATGTCTTATATTTAGGACTTCAAACCATTTTATTTTTGTATAAGGTGTGAGGGAGTGTTCTAATTTCACTCATTTACCTGCAGCTGTCCAGCTTTCCCAACACTATTTGCCAAAGAGACTGTCTTTTCTCCATTATGTATGGTTCTTTTTTTCCCATTTTTCTTTCTGTCTGTTGTTCTGATTAGGTGATTTCCATTATTCTTTCTTCCAGATCACTTATTCGTTCTTCTGTGTCATTTAGTGTGCTGTTCATTGCTTCTAGACAGGTTTTTAATCTCAGCAATTGAGTTTTCTAAATTTGATTGGTTCCTTTTTATAGTTTCTAGTACCTTGTTACAGTGAACTGCATTTCTATTGATAATCTTAATTCCTTTAGCATTTTTATTACCTCCTTTTTGAACTCGGAATCTAGTAAACTGGTGAGGTCTGTTTCATTATTTGTTCTTTCAGGGGATTTCTTGTTCTTTTCAATAGTAGTTTCTCTGCTTTTTCATTTTTCTTCAGTTTCTCTTTATTAATGTAGGAGAAAAATTTATCTACTGTGGTCTTGAAGGAGTGTTTTTTGTGACATGTCCCTGTGTAGACGGTGTGAGTCTAGTATTTCTGGTGCGAAGGCTGGCTTTGGTATGGATGCCAGCCTTGTCTTTCCTCGGAGTTTGCCAGCAGTTACCCACTGGATGGGCATGTGATTGGTGCTGCAGTGTCCAGAGCCAACACCGGAAGTGGGTGGAGCCTCCTCTGCTCTGTGGCTGTCACTGTCCTGTCAGGGGTGGGGTCTGCTCCCCAGTTGTTGAAGTAAAAGCCCTGAGGATCGGGTTCAGTCAGGCTCCATTGCCCTTGAGAGCCTGCCCTACCCCAAAGGAGGTGACCACTGATGCAAGTGAGGCCTTTGTGGTCATAGTGAACCTCTGTGCCACCTGTGCAGGTGTCTGCAGTTCTGCACAAAAGCAGCCCAAGGCTGAGTCCCTCTCTCCACTGAGTTCGTCCCAGTCCCAGTGTTAGGGTCTAGTGAGGAGCAGGCTGGGCTGGGGTGCTGTGCCTGCAGAAATCGCAGTGGCTGTGCTACTGTCTGGGACCTGGGCTTCCTCTGTGGCAGCTCTCTCCCAGGATTTGTCCACCCCAGATTTGGCTCCATGCTGAAGTGTGAAGTGGTCAGAGCTGGAGTGTTCCTGCTGGGAAATGAACAGCTGCATGGTCCTGCCCAAGGCCTGTCCACCCAAGACTCAGTACCCGGCTGCTCTGTTTCTGTGGTGCCACTTGGTGCATGCATCGACAGTTTCTGCCATGGCCACCCTCTCCCCCCGCTATGTGTGCACTGACAGTGGGCTCTGCACTCTCCCCCACCCACCCACAACCCAGGCTCTCTGGTCTGTCTCCACACAGCTAGACTGAGTCTTCTCCCTGGGACTGTCTGCCTGGGATTCAGCACTCAGCCACTGTGTGCCCTTGTGGCACTACCGTGTGCATGCTCCCAATGTCGGTTGGTTAGATCAGGCACCCCCGTGCGTGTGCTGACTCTGCAGTTTGGCCAGGATCACACCGCAGGCACCTCAGTCTGTCTCTACACAGCTAGACTGATTCTCTGCCCTGATCTTGTGCCAGGCTGTGGTGTAGAGCAAGAGGGGCTAGGTGTTTGCCCCTCTGAATTGGGAAGTGCGGTGAGGCATAGGTCTCTCCTGGCCTTGATTGTTAGCAACCAGCACACATGCACTCCTTGAGAATAGAGTCTAGACTTCTCTATCCCCTCCATCTGTCCCGGTGGATTTTCCAGGGGGCAAGGGTGCTCCCCAGCGCAGGGGTCTGCCCATGTGGACCTTCTCTCCCTTACACATCCCTCCCAGGGGTGCCAGTCTTGCCTGATCCCTTTTTGTTTTATTTTTTTCTGTCCTACTGAGTGACGTAGAGGTCATTCTTGCAGCTCTGGTTGTCAGGAGATCTTCTGTCAGTCTCCAGCTGGTGTTCTTGAGAACTGGCCCACACGTAGATGTGTCTTTGATGTGTTTGTGGCAGTGGGGTGAGCTCTGTGTTCTCCTACTCTACCACTGTCATCCTTGTCCTCTTTGGATTTTTTGAATTGATAAACTTTTTTAAAATTAGAAAGATCACTTAAAATGAACTAGTAGACAGTTAAAATCTTATGTCCCAGAGGATTTTTTCCAGTAAGAGCAGAAGTATCAAGTACTTGAATTGTAATTGCTGGCCATTGCTACAGAGTTTCTGAAATTGTCCTGAGTTACTTTTTAAATTGTCTATTACCTCTGCATACCCCTTTCCCCAAAATGCCTTCTTACTAATGTCAAAATAAGAATATTTGTTTTGGGTATTTTCTTAAACTGTTTTTTCGTCATGCCCCAGAACGCTTTGTGAATCTTTTGACTTTACTTTTTAAAATTACACTAAAAGAAGTGCTTATTTTTATGTTTCTGTTACTTAGAGTTTACTATTTTTCTTTTCTCTTTCCTCCCCTAATATATGGCTTTTAATTTCTAATACCCGAGTGGAACTAGCTAAAATTCTTATAAATATTTCATTCGCAATAAGGTAAAAGGGCTGTGAGTTAGTTTGTGTGGTAAAGAATTTGCTTTGGTGGTTGCTAGGGGAAATCCTTTTGAGAATTTATAATAAATGGATACAGGAAGACCTAGATTTGTTCTTTTAAAATAAAAGTAAGCAAAGAGCACAGAGTAGCATAGAAACGAGGTTTAGATAGAAAGAAATTCTGACCTGAGATAGGCTAACAGTTCCAAATAGTAGACTCAGTTAAAGATGAATTAAGAGCTGCAAGAGCTGGAAAGGATAAATAGACGTGGAGTACCTCTCTCACTTTCCTTCTTCTCTTTCACTTAAAGTAGGACGACTAAGAAAATAAATGACTAAGGCTGAACAACATGAGAGGAGATGAAAAGAATCCACCTGGTGCCCAACCCAACCTGAGACTCATAGAACCCTTTGTGAATGTTGGGGTGAAATTAATATTGAGAGTAAATTACAAAGAGTACCAGTTGAGTTTGTGTTAAATTGAGTACTTACTGAAAGAATTAAGGGTTAATTATAAAGATAAACTGTAGTAAAAGTGTCTTTCTAAGCCACTGACATTAAATGTAAAAGGGAATGCATGCAGAAAAAGCAGAAAGGAGGGCCTAAAATGCAGATAAGAAGTGAGGAATAACTTTTATTGCTAGATCTAATATGTCTTAGGCATTGAGCTGCACACCTTTCCAGTTATTTAACGAGTGGGCTTCAGCTCCAAACTCACCCCTCGGCTCTCTGCCCTGTGAGCTGGGGACAGGCGCACTCCAGGGAGACTTCCAGGATGGTCAAGGAAGAGCTTGACTCTTCCTGTTGTCTTGCTCCTCCTGGTAGCCTGGTTTCAGCAGCAATTTGTTCCAGTGTCCTTTTTGCCCTGTGCTTCCACTTTATTGTGCTGCATCAGAGGTATCAGCAGGAGCTGGGCAGTGCCGCCCCTCAGAGGTGTGAGTCCCACTGCGGGGTGCCTCCTCCTCGCTTCCAGGTTCTGACAATCCAACCCCCTCTCTCTGATCCTCTGGCCCTAGAGGTGGTAGCAGGTTCCTGTTTCTTTATTATTTCTATGCTCCCTTTTCATTTTCTTAGTTCTCTAACACCTGTAAAAACAAGTCCTTATACTAAATTCTCTGTTAAAATGACGTATTTCTGTTTTTGTGATTAGTTTCCGATACCGCTCTACGTACACTGTAAATTACATATTTATTTTTTATAAACGAGTAACTGAAGCTCAGATAGATTCAGTAACATGCTAGCTGTTTCACAGTTGCCAGGAGGCACAGCCAGAATATGAGCCCAGAGCTACAAGCCCCAGTCTTTGCTGATGCTCCAGGACATAGGAGGAAAACCATGATAGAAGTGTGCTGACAAATTTTAAGAATTTTAAAGGATAACTTAAGAATAAAAAAATTTAGAGAACAGTTTGAAAATAAATCTATCTATCTACTTGATTAGTCAGAATCCTTATACCTTTATTCATATGCATATTCTTAAATTTACATATTCTTCATATATTTATGCAAGGGTATATGTATATTCTTTTTTGGCTCCTTTCCAAATCTCCACTACTATGACACATAAAGTATTATTTTTTAAAAAAGGTATTAATCCATAAGGAGAACAGATAATAGCACACTGGAAATACTAAGAAAATTGTGGAAGTTAGAAATTAGGTGAACAAGTGGGAACAGGAAAAAAAAGCAGAACAGGAAAGAAATTTTAAAAGCTAAGTCTGCAGTGGGGAAGCCTTAAGACAGACCAGTCCTTGCCTCATGATACCAGAATAGTTCTGAAATTGGAAGAATGTGAGTTTCTAAAGGGTGGTTCTGAAACAGTAGGATTTGTTAAAATTCTTACAAGTAGCAATTAGATCTCCAGAGTTCCTTCCCCACCACTTACAGCCCAGTGGTTCCATCTCTCTACAACCCAGAAGAAAGATGATGACTCTTAAAAGGCAGTCAGGGTTTGGTAAGGCTGAGAATAGCACGGATGGAAGGATGGTGGAAAATTGAGACTGCAGTGGGTAGAAGTGAGGGACTTCAGGAGGGACAGTAAATAGTTGATGGAGGAAGATTTTGGATGGAATCAGATTCAGAGAAAAGGGATTAGCTGGCATTCTAGGGGAGAGATTTCTCTTCACAAGTGAGGGAAGCAAAGATAGATGAAGGTATTTGGCAAGCTACACTGGGAAATACTATTTCTGGGAACTTACATATTCTTTGTACGAGGAGACAAGGATGAGTCAAAAGGTTTGGGAGGGCTGGCATAAAGATGAATCAGCTCTATGGGGAATCAAAAGAGAAACACCCTTCTCTCCTCCCATTTTTCTACCATACGTTATTGTAATCTTAAAGAATGGTACTGTAAATTCACATAATCTAGGTCAAAAACATGTGGCCCAGGTGTCAAATTTAACCCAAAACTATGTGATTTTAAAAAAAATCAGTTGCCAACATTTTGAAATTTAGCAACTTAAAAAAAAAAAGATTGAGGTCTTTTTGAAAGACTGATGACCCTACAATACTGGACATACATTGCAGAGAGGAGCTGAGTGATGCCAGTTTCTTAGGTGGAGTAATACTGTATAGCCCCGTCACTAATTTATGTTACCTTCCAGACCTGGTAGTCATTTGAGTTTGACACCCTGATTGAGTACCTGTCTCCTGAGTGTCACCAAGTCACCTGTGCAAAATTGAGGTGTGGTTATCTTTTTCAGAAAGAGTGTAAGGCATCGTAAGAACCCCACCCCGATACTGTAACCCATGGGTTGAGAGTGTCAGAAGAAGTGCCTTTTTAAAAGTGACTCCTGCCTGGATGAACCCCTCCAGTAAGTGCTGGTTATACCTGCCAGGACCAGGCAAATCCATTCTCATACACTCAACTGGCAAAGTGAAATCACTGTCACCCAGAAGGCTTCTTTGGTATCTGTTAAAGATTAACTCATTCTGAGATGACTGGCTTGTTCAGATTCATTTATATACAGAATTAATCGAATTCAACCTTCTGACACGTGGTTTGATTTGGCACAGACTGGCTACGAAATACAAATCCAAGCAAGTGCCTTACTTCCTTTATTTGTATAATAGCTATCATAGGAGTATCCGTTGATGCTCATTCCACTTTCAAGAAATGATTCTTATTTGTGACTCATTAATAATTTGCAATTAATTTCCATCTAACTGTCCAGTGACTGTCAATGCTCTGAGAATCATTAAGTATGTGTATGATCACAAGTTAAGAGTCAATTAGGAAAAGCTCTAGCCATGTTATTGGAAAATGTTTAACTAGTAAAATACTTCACGCAAATGTTAAGTGCTGTTAATTTAGGACTGAGATCTGACTGTTAAAGAAACTGCACCAGGATAAACTCCTCTGTAAGAAATGGCTTCCAGTTAATTAAGAATTTTCTCCTAACCTGAAGCTATCTTGGTCTCTTCCGTGCAGTGAATTTCTGGCATATGGATTCAGTTTTGAGGAGTCGTTTTCTTTTCTGATGAAACTACTTCAGTCCTAGGAGGAAGCTCATAGGGTTTGGTTTGCTTATGCAGCTTCTCCTCTCTTCTCTCCATGATTTCTCTCAAGTGGGCTTTCTCCTGTAACTCTTTACGTTGACGTTCTTCCGCCTCACATACTGCGTCTTCATTCTGTCGGATCTTTAGCTCTTCCTGCCACTGTTACAGAGAGAAAGCGTCATTTACATATGGTTTTCCCTGAAAAAACTATCAGTTTAGCTCTTCAAAATGCAGATCCTTATATCCAATCATTCTCTTAGTTTTTCGCACAGATATGCCTGAGGAATTTATCTACCATACTGGAAAAGTATATAAGCCATCTATTAGAAAGGGTACAAGACCCACAAAAAAACAGAGTTCCTTCTTAGAATTTTTAATAATAATAAACCAACAATCCAAAACGGGATTAAATATCAAACAAAAACATAATAAAATCATCTTCACTTTAAAATTTCCAGTTAAATTTTAAAGACATAAGAAATACAAGTTACCTGCACTTACCTTGAGACCATTTCTACACACAATTACTCATATAAGTTTCACTTCTTAGAAGCGATTCTGACATGAAAACTCCAGAAAATTGAGGTGAAACATCAAGAACATTCCAGCATAGGCTAAAATTCATGCCTTCGCTTAGTCTTCAAGTTTTGATACTCACCTGTGACATACAATTTTTTCTAATATAATAAACTAAATAATAATGTCAATTGTTTGATGAAATTACTAATCTTATAGCATTAAAGTAGTAGTTGGTGTAATAATAACAGTGTCTATAAACAAAGACACTAACCTTCCTTTTGTAAGCAATCTCCGTGTACCTCATGATATTGATCTTTACACTGTCAAAAGTCAACAGAGTATTAATTCTTAAGAACTCTCAGTGAAGTAGAATTCTTTGGTTTCCTCAACACCAAGCATTAGAGCAGTAATGGGGCATCAGACTGTGAATGACCAGGAGGCAGTTCTTCCTCGTCTCCTCCCTTGTTAGAACTTGGCGTGGCTGGGATCCACCATAATGTTATGATCCCTCTTTTTCTTAGCCCCAGAAGAATGTAAGCTTTTCTTTCTCATTTTTGTCTCTATTGACTATGACAAATTCAATTTGGATAGAGCACTGTCTTGAACTTACTTTTATTTCCAATTATTATCATCAACTGTGGCAGCTAGGAGGATGCAGACATGCTTAAAGTTGATGGGAAACAGAAGCACCATACTGCTCTGTTCAGCCCATTCACTCAGGGACTCGTCATTGTGTGATGGAATACCAGCAGTGTAGGAGGTACTTAATATCTGCTGAACAGTGAGGTATCTGCCCTATTCTTCCCATATCATGGCCATGATAAAATTCAACTGAAATAGCAGGACAGTTCAAACTGTAGCTGTGTGTATTTGTTTTTTGTTAATTCTACAGGTTCCACCTTCCCACCTCCATTCAGGTTAGGGATTATAAACTAAGAAATTGAGCAACTATGGAGAATTGACAGGAAAAGTGTTTTTGAAATCCAGAGATTTAGTTCTGTGTTGACACTCAGTCGTTTACTAACTTTAAAGCCTTGGACAAGTAACTAAATTGTAAACCTACATTCTTCTTACTGGTTAATGTTTTACAGCATTGTTGTGAGATTAAATTAACCAGTGTAAGAGCATTTTGTAAAGTGTGAGATGTAAGTAAAAAGCACTATAGCTACCTCAAAGGAAATGGTATATACATTAATACTTTTTAAAATTTGACATTCAGAGAAACTTCCATAAACCTTCCCAAATCAGTACTACCAAACTGCTAACTATTTGATCACGCGATTTGGATCCTATACATTCTCAAACATATTTTCAGAAAGGATTCCTTTAACTGTCTCTAGCTACACTACAAGCAGATTGATGGCAGTGTTACTTAGATACTGCTTGGACCCTTGGAAAGAGGAAAAGATGATGGTTTTTAGGAGCCATTTCCTGACCTCCTCTCTATCATTCAAAATAAGGTCCTCTGCCTCTTTAGGCTGATGTTTTTACAAAGTGATTAAAGTCTTTCTAATCTTTCAAGGGTAAAAGGGTAAAAAGTGGCAAGTCAAAAGATTGTTGTTCTGTTATTAAAACTACGCTGTGTGTGTGTGTGTGTGTGTGTGTGTGTGTGTATACACATTGGTCACCCGCTATATTCTGTAATCTATTCTAGATAGTTTAGTTGAAGTGAATAGTAAAATAGATGCTGCAGTTATGAACCATTTAGAAGTTATGATAATGCCCTGTACATATGATATACTGGTTTAGCAAACTTTATTAATGAATAAAGTAACAATACTATAGCTCTCATTTTGGGATTCCAGGGTATCATTCAGTCTCCAAACCCCAATTCTTGTCACTATCACTGTATTGGCTTAAATATTAACTGTGTGATAAATAACTGTTTAATGGGATCAATAAATAAAATAATTTATTCTTTCTCAAATTATCACTAATTAAAAAGAATGTGAAAAGATAATCATGAGAATATAAACACAATCGACAAATAGTACTGAACTGTAGATAACAGTAATTTAAACACATTCTATGTGCTACTGAATCCATATTGCATTCAAATTAAAAACAGAAAATAAGTACTTTCTCTCTTACTCCAACTCTGCCCCTAAAAAGAAGTAGTCATATAATGACTTGGCAAGAAACCACTGAGTAAACATAGCTCAACAGATTAAATTATGTTAAGTAAATGGCCTTGTATTGCCACTGCTTGTTTAACTCATACCAAGAACAAAATGATTAAAGTCTTACTAATATTTCAAGGGTAAAGAATGGTCACTGAAAATTGAGCCAAAAGATTTTTGTTCTGTTATTAAAACTACACTACAGAAGAAATCAGTGTTCAATATCAGATTCTTGTCATAAGAAATCAGTACTGATTCGGGGAACAGGATAAGGCTTGTACTTTACAAATGACAGAAAGCCACATTTTCTGTAACCCAGCGGAGGCAGTGAGGGGTACAGATAGTACAGTGAGGCATAGTCGAGTTTAGCAATGCCCAGGCAGGGCTCTGCTTCTGAGTTCTCATGTGTTCATGTTTTGTTCTCAGAACTACACTTTCTGATTCAAAATGCCTTTAAAGAACAAAGCTTTTGCTGCTCGTTTAAGAAAGTCACTTACGTGATGATCAATGATTCTTGCCAACTCTTTATCCGCCCTGGTGAAAAAATCCGGATATCGGAACAAAGGGAGTTCTGGCACAGAAGAATGTTCCCTTCAAAAGAGCACAAGAATGTATCCAATATTAGGTATAGATATTCTTTCTTCCTTGAATATAAAGATTTGCAAATTATCATCATTAAGCATTTTGATTCTATATTGTTAACAAATAAGGTCACATTGAATATAAATACATTGACAAGTATGGGGGCCTAGAACTTTGACATATCTTTTGAAGGACACAATCCAACGCACGACAGATGATAAAGCAGGAGCAAAAACCGAGATTAAGAAAACAAATGACTCACTTGGGGAGAAGCACATAGACTGAGAAGGATGGAACCTAGAATATAGTTGAGGGAAGAGTAGGCAACTCATTTATTCACTCATTCATTCATTTGCTCATTTATTGCAAGATGAATGTTATTATAAGGACTGAGAGGGAAAAAAAATGTTTTCTAACTTAGACACTGCAGTCCAGAAGTTGAAAGTTCACATAGGAGGGAGACATGTAAACAAACATCTACAGTACACTGGAAAAACTGCTGTAAAATAGTAAGATGGGGTTCTATGGAGTACAAAGGTGGGAGCTGGCATCATTTAACTTCGTCTGAGTAAGTGAAAATTTCCTGAATGGTTGTCCCAACTGGATGATTGTGGATTGAAGAAAAGGCACACTTAGGACATGTTCAGTTTCTTTAATATAGCAAAGATAAATGTACAGAGATATTTATAAGTAGGTGCCCCCCCCAAACCCAAAAAACAAAGAAATACCATTATTTATACATAGCTATGGTTTTTCAAGTCTTCAAGCTCTTCTGAGGACATGAAGTATGGAGTGAGCATCCCTTGAGGAGGTACTTCCCGGGAGCACGTGGATGCCCACATTCTTTAATCCTGTATCTCACAATCTGACCTAATCAGCTCATTAGGTAGTCGTTGCCAGAGGGGCGGGGGGTGGGAAAATACTGCTCTTGTCTCAGGAAGACTACAGTAATCTTTGGAATTACCCAATGAGGGAAAGATACTATATTATTTAAACAAACCACAGAACTGTGTCCTTATTTAGCAATTGAATGACTTGACCCTTTATCCCTCTTTTTTTCTTTTGAGAGAGAGAAATTGAACACCCACAGACTTATTGGCTGGCATTTTCTCTAGCATACTTTATTTTCATTTGGGGGGTTCAGGATGGATATATGATTCTCAGAAATGTCAGGGATATATGACCTTTCATTGATTCAAAACTTAACTTGTTCCAAATAATTGTATACTTTTTTTTTCCTTTTGGAAGTTTAAAGCTTTATTATTCAGCTACTGGAATACTCTTTAACCAACTTCCTTCCTCAAAGACTTTCTGAGCTCCACTGCAATTTCTTCTTTTTATTTCACCTTTATTGAGATACAGCTGGCATATAAAACTGTATAAGTTTAAGGTGTACAACATAATAATTTAATACAGGTATATGTTACAAAATGATGACCAGAGTAAGTCTAATTAATACCTTCCTCACTTCACATAACTACCAATTCTGTGTGTGTGTGTGTGTGTGTGATGAAAACATTTAAGATCTACTCTCTTGACAATGTTCAAGTATTTAATACAGTATTGTTGACTGTAATCACCATGCTATACATTCGATACTCAGAACTTTACTAGAAGTTTGTACCCTTTGACCAACATGTCCCCCTTTCCTTTGCCTCAACCCCTGGCAGCCACCAACCTACTCTGATTCTGAGTCCTGCTTTTTAAGATTCCATATATAAATGAAGTGATAGAATATTTGTCTTTCTCTATCTGACTTAATTGACCAACCATAATATTCTCTAGCTCTATCCACGTTGCTGCAAATAGCAATATTTCATTCCTTTTTATGGTTGAGTACTATTCTCTTGCATGTATGTCACATTGCTTTCTCCATTCATTTCTTGATGGACACTTAGTTTGTTTTCATATCTTGGCTATTGTAAATGATACTGCAATAAACAAGGGGATGCAGTTATATTTTTGAGATACTTATTTCATTTCCTTTGGATTTATACCCAGAAGTAGAATTGTTGGACCCTATGGTAGTTCTGCTCTGAATTTTTGCAGAACCTCCATACTTTTTCCATGGTGGCTTCACCAATTTACATTTCCACCAACAGTGCACAAAGTTTCCCTTTTCTCCACATCCTTGCAAACACTGTCATTTGTTATCCTTTTGATAATAGCCATTATGACAGGTGTGAGGTAACATCTCATTGTGGTTTTGATTTGTATTTCCCTGATGATTAGTGATACTGAGCACTTTTTTTTGTACCTGTTGGCCATTTGTATGTCTTCTTTGGGAAATGTCTATTCAGGTCCTTTGCCCATTTTATATTTTGAATATTTGGGTTTTTACTATTCATTGTTTACATATTTTAATATTAACTTCTTATCACATAGGTGGTTTAGGAATATTTTTTCCCATTCCATAGGTGGCCTTTTCCTGTTTGGACTGTTTCTTTTACTGTGCAGAAGCTTTTTAGTTTGTACTCCAAGTTGCTGATTTTTGCTTTTGAGCCTGTGCTTTTGGTTTCAACTCCAAAAAAAATCACTGCTAAGTCCAACGTCAAGATGCTTTTTTCCCTATGTTTTCCTCCAGAAGTTTTATGGTTTCAGTTCTTATATTTAAGTGTTTAATCCATTTCAAGTTAACTTTTGTGAGTAGTGTAAGACAGGGGTCAAATTTCAGTTTGCCTAGCACCAATTATTGAAGACATTATGCTCTCCCCAGTGAGTATTCTTGGCTTCCTTGTCAAATATTAGTTAACCATATATGCATGAATTTATTTCTGGGCTCTTGATTCTGTTCCATTTTTTATATGTCTGTTTTATGCCAGTACCATTCTGTTTTGATTACTTTCATTACTATAGCTTTGTTATATAGTTTGAAATTGGGAAGTGTAATGACTCCAACTTTGTTCTTTCTCAGGATTGTTTTGACTAATTGAGGTCTTCTGTGATTTCATACAAACTTGGATTTCTATTTCTGTGAAATATGTCATTGAAATATTGATAGGGATTACACTGAATCTTTAAATCATTTTAGGTAGTAGGGACATTTTACCAATATTAAAATCTTCTGATCCATGAGCAAAAATTATCTTTACATCTGTTCCTGTCTTAATTTCTTTCAACAATTCCTTACAGTTAACCAGTGTACAGAACCTTCACCTCCTTAAATTTATTCCTAAGAATTTTATTGTTTTTGATGATATTGTAAATGGGATTGTTTTCTTTGTTTAAGTTAGATCATTGTCAGTGTCTAGAAATGCAACTGATTTCTGAGTGTTGATTTTTTATCCTGCAACTTTACTCAATTTATGTATTAGTTTTAATAGTTGGAGTATTTTAGATTTCCTATATGTAAAATCATGTCATTTTCAAAACAGTGACAATTTAAGTACTTCCTTTCTGACTGGAAAACATTAATTTCTTTCTATTGCCTAACTGCTCTCACTAGAACTTCCAGTACTATGTTGAGTACAAGCAGCAAAAAGGGGCAACTTTGCCTTATTTCTAATCTTAGAGGAAAAGCTTTCAAACTTTCACCATTGAGTATAATGTTAGCTTTGTTATGTTGAAATATGTTCCTTCTGTTTTGTTGAGAATTCTTACCATGAAAATATAAAAAACTGAATTTTGTCAAATATTTTTTCTGCATCTACTGAGATGATCACATGGTTTTAATCTTTCCTCCTATTAATGTGGTATATCACATTTATTGATTTATGTATATTGAAACATCCTTGTATCCAAGCGATGAATTCCACTTGATCATGGTATATGATCCTTTTAATTGCTAGGTTTTTAAAATTTTTATGTCTTAAATTTTAAATTAAAAAAAATTATTGAAGTATAGGTGATGTATAATATTGTACTAGTAACAGGTGTATAATATAGTGATTCACAGTTTTTAAAGGTTACACTTCATTTATACTTATTATAAAATATTGGCTACATGTCCTCTTCTGTATAATATATCCTGGTAGCTTATTTTATATGTAATAGTTTGTACCTTGTAATTCCCTACCCCATCCCTATCTTGCCCCTTCCCCTTCCCTCTCCTTGCTGATAAACAGTAGTTTGTTCTCTAAATCTGTGAGTCCCTTTCTGTTTTGTTATATTCACTAGTTTGTTGCATTTTTTAGATCCCACATATAAGTGATATCATAAAGTATTTGACTTTCTCTGTGATTTATTTTATTTAGTATAATATCCATCAGGTCCATCCATGCTGCAAATGGCAAAATTTCATTCTTTTTTATAGCTGAATAGTATTCCATAGTACATATATACTACATCTTTTTTATCCATCCATGTGTTGATGAACATTTAGGTGGCTTCCATATCTTGGCAATTCTAAATAATGCTGCAAAAGCATTGGGATGCATGTATATTTTTGAATTTGTGTTTTGGGTTTTTTTGTGTGTGTGTTTTTGTTTGTTTTGTTTTGTTTTTGGATACACACCCAGGAGTGGAATTGCTGGGTCATATAGTTGTATTTTTATTTTTTTGAGAAACCTCCATATTGTTTTCCATAGTTACAGTATCAACTGACATTCCACAGTGTAGCAGGGCTCCCTTTCTTCACATGCCTGCCAACATTTGTTATTTGTGTTCTTTTTGATGATAGCCATTCCAACAGGTGTGAGATCATATGTCATTGTAGTTTTTATTTGCATTTTCCAGATGATTAGGGGTGTTGAGCATCTTTTCTTATGACTGTTGACCATCTGAATGTCCTTTTTGGAAAAATATCTGTTCAGAGCTTCTCGATTTTTAATTGAATTGTTTTTTCGATGTTGAGTTGTATGAGCTATTTTATATATTACAAATATTTTCTCCCATTCAGTAGGTTGTCTTTTGATGAGCAAAATTTTTAAGTTTAAATAGGTCCCATTTATTAATTTTGCTTTTATTTCCTTTGCTTTAGGAGAAAGATACAAAAAGAAGTTACTGTAATGTATGTCAAAGATGGTTCTGCTTATGTTTTGCTCTAGGAAATTTATGGTTCCCAGTCTTAC